AAGAACCAGTTTGCAAGAGTGTTGCTAAGAGAAAATGCATCTAATTTGCCAAAATCAAATTAACTCCTAATACACATGGGGCTATGTTAAGCAGTAAACAGTTAATAATATTATAAACACTTTTATTCTCCTTGTCCCATGTGGACTTAAACTTAATTATTAAACTTACATTCACATGTCAAACAAAGCACACATAATTAGCACAATTTTAAAAATCATACCATCTTCAAATTACTTAAATTACTTATTCAATCACAGGATGATACAAATTTCCAACTAATTTAAGCCAACAAGTTGGTTTCATTTTCTATCCATCATGGGGTCTTTGGATGGCTTTTTAAAAAAATTCATATAAAGTCTCATTAGCAGCGTTGGTCATATTTTGAATGAAATGCTAGTATTGCAAGACATTTAAAAATTTAATCTCTTCTCTATGCCAGCCACAGCGGATCTTTCATTCTCAATATACCATTATTCTCTATTGAGTCCCAGGGCAAAATCTTGTCATTGAACATATAGGTGTGAGTGGGTGTGCTTCAAATGCAATCAATTATTTGACACATTACAACTGAAACAGCTCTGCTTGCTCCATCCCCAATTGCCCAGCAGAATTTCCCATATTGATATCTTTATGTTGGAGCTTTACAAGGTGAAGGTGTTTGTTAGGTCAGACTTGACAATTCATGGCTGAGACAAGGGGCCTTTCTTTACGTCACAGTACCTGGGCTTGGCTTTTTGTGGAGTATGCACCTCATCCCTGAAAGGACAAGGTCCCCCAGTTTCTGCCACTCCATGCTCACGCAGCCATGGTCCTGTCTCTGCAGGTGATGCAGCAGGTCTGAGCGTCCCATAACTGGGGCCCTGATGTTAGCAAATCTGGGGTAAGGCAGTCACAGCAAGGTGTCACTCCCTTCCCTTTACCTACCAAAATGTATCTTCCCGAGATCCTGGAGGGAAAACTGAGATTACACCACCACCAGGGAGTAACAGTCCAAACATGTATTGACTAAGCTAATCTTTGGCGATGTTAGCTCTAGTTGTGGTGTTATCCGGATGGTACGGATAGCGGGCTGCATTCTGGACAAAACATCTGGAAGCAGAGGACCCTATCCCCGCTGCTTCTTTCTCAAAGAAGCCCCACTTTCCTTTGCTCTTTTTTATTAATGGACTTTCTGTAGTGATCTTCCAGACAGTTCTCATTCCAGTTGATCTTTAGGAAATACTTAGAGGTGGGGGAGGCACTCCTTTCAAATCACCTCTTCGAAGACAGGTTTCTGATCTGATTCAAGGCCACGTCCTGGGCATCTGGTTTCTGTAGCTCACAGAATTACTGCTCCTGATAAATTGCGCTGAGTTCTGAGGCTACTGCTGTCATATTGCATTCTCTGACTATATCCCAGGTCCCCCAGTACACATTTAGACACACACATACACACACACACACACACACACCTCGTTAGACTCCATTCCCATGTAGTATCCAAATGAGTTTCCTGGCAAACACACCGGAGAGAGCTAGGCCAGCACAGACCTGAAGCGTGCAGTCAAGGCTCACAGACAGTGCATTGAGTGAAAAGCTTGGGGGTCCTGAGTGAGGGATGGAGGTCGGACTCACACCTCCACACCTCTGCACCTTCTCACAGAGCGCTGCCAGCGGCAGTCAGATCTGAGGGTGGAAGTGAGGGAGAGATACATTTTAAACTGCTCAACAATGGTTCCGGGGGGTGGGGGTGGGAGGGAGGGAATAGGGAGCCCCCCATCCCTGGACAGGTACAAGCCAAGGTTGCAGGACCACCTGATAGGGACGCCATAAAAATAAATTAAACCTCAAATGGGTAGTTGAATTGCAACAACTGAAAAGAGAACAGAGAGGAACGAGGGGGAGGAAATGAAATAATAAAATGTGAAAGGAGATAGGAAGGAAGGCCAGAGGCCGGGGACCATTCCAAACATTTGGACAGAAACGGGAGAGCTCCTGAGAAGGCTGATATCTCACTGGGCAGTCTGCAGTGTCCCAGGACTCTGGTCCTTGGCCTCCAGCACCTACTCATTCCTGTCCTGTGGGCTGAGCCTGTAGGCCTGGCTTTGTCCAGGGAGCACAAGGTCCAGCTGAGCAGTATTTGTTCATCCATTAGGAAGCTTGGCCCTGGACAAAGAAGGGGCAGAATTCCTCTGCACCTTCCCTAGTGGGCACTCAGTACCTTAGAGGGTCCCCAGGAGGGTCCCCAATATTTAGGACAGGGAGGGACAGGAAAGAGCACTTTTCCACACTGGAGACCCATGACTAGAGGATTGGGTTGGACCAAAACCGTTGAGCACTCAGTGGCCCAGCCAGGCCTATTCCCAGATGCAGTCATGTGGGTGGATTCCTGAACCAGCCCTAGGAATTGCACCGGTCCCTGCCTCCTGCTCAAAAGCAGGGTTTGCAGATAGAACAAAGCAGCCCTCTTCCTAACAGATGATACTCCTGAGTTGTGTCCCAGGCAGTGGGGTGGGATGCAGCAGCAGGGCTTGAGTGGTGACCAGGAGCAGGGCTCTCAGGCTGTGGCCCTCAAAAGGGAATTTTTCTCTGCAAGAGCTTTGCTGGTCTGGGAAATGAACCTGGGCTCAGGGCCTCTGGAACTGTCACAGTCACCACCTGTGCCAGGAGACAGGCCTGGGGCTAGGATAGAGCCCTGGGCATCTGGACTTGGGTCTGTTCCCCAGCCTGGACTGATCTGCTTAGGGAGACATGATACTCACAGAAGGTGAGAGAGGAGAAGAGGTTGGAAGCAGGAAGAAGGGCGGAGAGGGGTGGACTCTGGACACTATCTGCTCCTCCCTGTTCCTTTCCTCCACCCTCCTCTTCCCATCCAGCATGGGGGGATTCTGCCGGAACACACAGGCGCCTGGCCCAGCACTTGGGCTAGTCCGGAGCACAGCACCTGCTCTCAGTCGCCCCCTCTCCTGTTCCCCACCCAAGAAGCCCCATTTAAAGGGCCGTGAAATCAGTGTGCTTTCAACCCCGACTCCACAAGTGCACACACCCTAGCGCACCCCAACAGCTGCCCACCCCTGAGACACGCGCGCTTGGCTCCCGGGATAAAGGCACCAGCTTGTTCTGGAGAATTCACTTTGCCAGGTCCCCCCTGTTCTGCTCCACCTCATTGCTGCCCTGTAGCTTGTGCTATTGTGACTTCTCTTGTGCAAGCCACTGCAGCCTTGTTCCTGTGACTCGCCGACCCACTGGCTTCTGAGAGAGCTCAGAGGCTGATGCTGAGACTCAAACTAGGCAGCTCCGACACCACACACAGCCACACCCTGTCACAACGGCAGTCCCAACCCGAAGAGGGTGGTGCACACACTCCAGTGCAAATGCGCGAGCACACACACTCCCCGAGCTCCCTGTTCAGGGTCTGCACACGCCCACCCCTCCCTTCTTATGACCTGTCCCACTGACTTCCAGCCCCCACCCCATGTGGATTCCTCGCCCCACCCGGACGTTGGAGGCCCCAAGAGCAGGGCTTGGTGCAAACACCTGACGAATTGACCGGACAGTCAAACAAACACGGAATCACACAAAGGATCCCGACAGGAGGCTCCCAGGGGCTCCTTCTTTCTGCGTTTTCCTCCTTTACCCCTCGGGCCCCTTTCTCTGTCCTCCGACAAAAAGCCACCGAGCCCGGTTGCAATCGATGCTTTATTGACTGTTTACATACAGACTAGTTTAGAAAAGGGCACGGTTCCGGGGGGCTACTCCGCCCCGGGCCGCGCTTGTGCTGCGCTTCGCAAGAGGGCTGGTCCCCAGGACCGAAACTCCCCCCACCCAACCCCGACGCTTCCCTTCAAAAACGAAAAAGGACCCGGGCCCGCGTCGCCGCGCCGCGTCCCCCTGTCCCCCCTCCCCGCCCGCCCGCCCCCACACTACACGGTCACACTTTACAGAACACAGACTTTTCTCCTACACAGCACGCTCGTCTAGGACTACAGGCCGGCAAACACGTTCTCGCGGAAGTGGGGGCGGGAGACGCGAGGATCGAGGGGCTTCGCTGCGTCCGGATCCCCTGCACAGTCCGCGCGGGCTCTGTGCGAACCGCGCAACCCTCGGGACACGCGGCCCCGGCCCGCGTTGGCCTCCTACGCCCGGCGCTTTCCCGCTGGGGCCCGGGCCGGGGCAGCCGGCGCTGTCGAGCGGGCGATCTCCGGAAACCCGCACGCTGACAACGGAATCGGCCCGGGACCAAGCCGAGCCCTCCGCAGAAAAGGGGCGCGCGGCCCTGCGGCGCTTTAAGTTAAGGGCGAGACGGGAGAGAATGGGTGCCCTCCCCGCCCTCCGACACACGCCCCGTTTTCCCATGGGCTGGGAAGGAGGTGTTAGCACCAGACCCGGAATGTCGCTGTCTTTGAAAACAACGAAAATGTGAAAATCTGGGCGCGGAGCAGACAGGCGCCCCAGGCACCCGGCTCGGCTCCAGCTGGACCAAAGCGGACGGGGGTGGGGGACAGAAGGATTTGGTTCCCTGCGGGAGGGGGGCTTTGGAACTAAAAACTAGGGGTTGCCGCCTTCTGGGACATGCAGCCCTGAAAGGGCGGAGTAGGGGTCGAGGCCGGACCCCACAGCGCTCCCCCAGGGACATCCACCGGCGGTTCCTGGGCCCTCCGCCCGGAGGTTGCCGACGTCTTCGCCCGTTTCCCCCGGCTCCAGAGCCCGCCGCCGGGAGGCTGCGACGCGGGCTTGGCAGACAATCGCGATGAGAGTGGAGGGCACAGATTCCGCCCCCCTGCAGGGCGTGTCCTCTGTGGTGCCAGGGGCGGGGGCACTGCTGGAGGGGAGGATTCAGCCTCGAGGGAAAATGACAGCCATGGGTGGCGGGAGGTAAAGTCGGCCCCTCCCTGCTAGAAGTCCCTAGTAGTCAAGATTGGGGAGTGGTAAGGGGGCGGAGTGAGTGAGTCGGGGCGAGGGGCGTACGGCCCCCAGGTGGGGGCTGGGAATGGGCTGGCCGGGGGCCGGGGCGGGAGGGTCAGCCGGCCGTCTGCCTGTAGTTGCCGTTAATCTCCTGGGCGATGTCGACGGCCTCCGCGCCCAGGGGCAGCCGATCGCTGTACTCGGAGCCCGCCTCGAACTCCTCCTGGTTGGCCTTGGACTGGGACTCCACCAGTGAGCAGGCTGCCAGGCTCTCCTCCCTCTGCAGGCCTCCACTTGGGGCCCCCTGCTCCGCGTCCTCGTCAAGGCCCTCCCCCGTGGTCTCCTCTGGCTCCTCGCCGCCCGCCTCGCCGCCTGCCGGGTAGCTTTTCTCGGACTCGAGGTACGAGGCACGCGGGTCAAAGTCGGCGGCGATGCGCTTCTCCATGGGGTCTGGGGCCTGAGGCCGCAGGATGAGCCGGTATGGCTTGCCCGGGTGCTTGGCCAGCAGGTGACAGCAGGCGGCGCCCAGTAGGGGCACGGTGGCCAGGACCAGCAGGAACACGCTCACTGCCACGATGACCAGCAGCGACGGCAGCTCCTTCTTGGTGGCAAACACCACTTGCACGTGGCAGGCCTCGCCCGCCAGCGCCAGGCACACGGAGTAGTTGGTGCCCGGCCGCAGGCCCCGAAACCAGTAGGCGTTGACGCCCTCCTCCACACGGGACCACTGCACTGCCGCCCCACCCCCTGAGGGGCACAGATACAGCAGGCGCAGGGGCCGCCGCCCAGGTCTCCCCGGTCCCCCAGCCCCGCCGGGCCCAGGGCCCCAGCGCGTCGCCAGCGGAGTCAGCTGCACCCGTGCCTCGCGCTCCGCTACGTCCAACGCGATGACACCCAGCTCGAAGACGTGTGGCTTGAGCTCCGTGCTCTGGTTGAACGCGTGGTTGGACACGTACTGAGAGGGGTCCCCGTGGCCACAGTGCTGCTTCTCCGCCGGGTCCGCAGGGATCTGGTCTTCTGCCTCCTCTCCTTCACCTGCTTCCTCCTCCGGCTCTGCCTCCTGCTCTCCGAGGACGCTGACCCTGGCCAGGCCTTGGCCTTTGATTCTGCCCTCGGGTTTGGAGGGCAGGACGCTGTTGCCCCGGCCCTTGGCTGTGGACTTGCGCTCAGAGGTCGGGACCTGTCCATCGGGGTCTCCACCCGCGCCATGCTTTGGGGGCCCGGCTGCTGCCACCGCTACACGTACTGATGTGGAGTTGGCGCCCAGCTCATTGTGTGCACGGCATGTGTAGACGCCTGCCTCCTTGGCGCTTAAGAGGGGCACCAACAGGGAGCCATTTGCTAGGGCCAGGAAGCGGGGGGTGGCTGGGGGCGCCGGCCAAGCGGGTGCGGGAGTCGGGGTTGGCGCTTCGGTCTGCGTCATCACGTCCCCATCTCCTTTCCCCTCCCCCTCCTCCGCCCTGTCCCCATCATCCTCCCCGCTCGGGGCCGGCGGCTGTAAGACTACGGTGCCACCCGGAATCTGAAGTTGCCACTGCAAGCGGGGAGTGGGATGGCCGTCGGCTAAGCAGTGCAACACGAAGGCCAGGCCGGCGCGCAGGGGAGTGCCGGGCGTCTCCGGCTGCGGCTCCGCGCTCAGACGCACGCTGGGCGGTGCGCAGGGCAGGGCCGGCCGGCAAACGGAGCACTAGCACCCCCTGCAGCGCGGGAGGCGAGGCGCATGCAATGGAGTCCGGCTCCGGTAGGGAGACCCGGGTGCTCGCGGCCCAGGCCTGTAGCCACACAAGGCCGCATCCGCAGTGGAAGGGATTGTGATAGAGTTGCAGGTGTGACAGCGCGCTTAGCGCGTCGAAGGTGCCGGGCTCCAGAGTACGCAGCCGGTTGTTGTTGATGCGCAGCGAGCGCAAGTCGGACAGCGCGCCGAGTGCGTCCCGGGGCAGCGAGCCCAGGCGGTTGTGGTTCATTTTGAGCAGCTGCAGCGCGCTCAGGTTACGCAGGTCGCTCCACGGGAAGCTGGATATGAGGTTGTGACTCAGGTCGAGGTTCTTAAGCTGGCTCAGCATGGCCAGTGCACCTGACTCCACGGTGCGCACTTCATTGTGCGCCAGCCAAAGTGACGTGACCTGCGTGACGTCGGTGAAGGCCCCGCGCCGTAGCACGGTGATCTTGTTGGCCGACAGACTAAGCGTGGTCACGTTGGCCGGCAGTCCTTCTGGCACCTCGCGCAACTCCTTGTAGGCGCAGTCTGCGAACTGGTGAGCGTACTTGTCCACGCAGGCGCAGGGCTCCGGGCACGCTCCGGCCACTCCTAGCAGCGCCCAGGCCAACCACAGGGTCCGAAGTGGTGCCATCGCGGCTCCTGCAGATGGAAGCCGGGGGAAGAGGGGAGAAGGTGACTCATCGAACCCCAGCTTCCTTCCCCTATCAAGGTCAGCCTCTGCAAACGCTTCTAGCACAGGTCCCAGGGCTCCTCTGTGCCCAGTAACCTCCTCTATGACAGGATCCTCTCTTGGGCAGGAGTGGAGGGAGGTCAATAACAGTCTCGAAGTTCAACGGATGCTCCCTCTCAGGGCCCTGACTTTTTGCCAGCGTCGGGTTACATCGTTCTTTTTTCCCTATCTACCCCTCACTGGGGAGCTGGCCCCTCCATAGACTCCACTGCTTGCTGGTCTACAAGCGCTCCACACTGAAGCCCTCTGGGTGTTTCCAAACCTTCATTTACCCGATGAAATGGATACACAGAAAGGATATTTTTGTCCATGACTGGCTGTCCTCCCTGGAACCTTTTGTCCCAGGCACAGCACTCACACACATGCCGGTGCAGGCGCACAACAATACAAACAGACGCTGGGGCTTTGCCATCAAACTGCCAACTTCTGTAGGGGTTTAGAGGACCTGATTCTTTATCGGGGGTTCACAACACATTTCGTAGACACACAAACACATAGCCCCCCAGACACGGATGCAATATATCCTGGAGACCTCATTCTCTCAACTGAACCCGGCATTTGTAAAGTGTTTTTCACCCTGGTACAAAGCGCTTTCCTATCCATTGTGAGAATTGAAACACACAAGGACACAAGTTCCCACACGAACTGATCCACACACAGGAACACAGGAGCACATTTGTGCCTGCACACAGCTCTCCACTGGGACCGAAAACCGAGCAGATAAGCAATACCGAGAACTTGCCCCAGTGGCTTGAGGTGGGATCTGGGGAAGCTGACCTCCATGCCCTTCTCTGGCTATAGCCTAAGTCGCCTGCCCTAGGCTGCTTGGCCAGCCTTCTGTATGGGGAGGGAGGTCCTCCTGCATGTCTTGGCCAGGTGTGTTCAAAGAACTGTCACTAAAGCTTCCGGCTCTGGTCAGAGGGCCCAGGCTGCTGGGAGACGGGGTTGGGCAGAGGAGCCCCCAGCCAACAAGTCATGGGGGTTGCTACTAGCTAATGAGGCTGGAGAAGATTCAAGATTCATGCCTTTCTCCACAGCTCCACGATGCCTGAGGGCCCCCCCCCCATAAAACCTTATCACCAGTCACACAAACGCACTTACACAGACTCCCTACCTCCACCTGGGGCGCCTGTCAGGTTTGGCAGAACCGCTCCCACACCCTATCTTTGGGAGCCTGCTTCCCGCCCCCCCTCCGCTCCAGTGGGAGGACCCCTCCCCTCTCGGTTCCTCCCAGATGGCACCCTAGGGGTCTGGCGCCCTACGCTGGACCTACCCCAACTAGGGTCGAGGTTGTGGGGCTGTTCCTACTGCTTACCCGTTGTTCGCTGACTCCCAGTACGCTGCCCTCGGGCTGCAACGCCTTGTCCAGACTCAGTGTGTCGGAGCAGGGACCACAGTCCAAGGAAGCTTCCAGCATCTGTTGCTGCGGCTGTGGGGAAAACGGAGGAGGGGCAGAGAAAGGAACAGGTGAGTTTGGGGACTCCCTGGTCCCAAAGTCCCACTTCAGTTTTTCCTTTTGCTTCTGTTCCGCACCCCCGCCCCCCACCTCCCAGCTCTGTGGCTGCAGGTTGGAGAGTCCTCGCGCGCTCCCGGGCTTGGCGGGGACGCGCACAGCCTCTCCCACCTCCTGCATCATCTACATTTGTTAAAGCCGTAGAGACCCTCCCTGAGGTCGAGACACGTCGGTCGCAAGGGCGGTCCATCCCACACCCAGTGTCCTCGCCTGGGCTCTTCCCAGCCCGCTGCACCCCAATAACCCACGTCCCCCCCATATTTACACACCCGCTGACATTGTCACTATCCCACATCACACTGGCCCCCCCATGTTCAAACACATTCGCACACACAGACCCTCCACAGTCGACCTTCACACGTTAGAATTACCCATCGTCACGTACTAACCACGCCAATGTGCTTTGCTCTCGCCACATTCACACACATTTTCACGGGCATACCTTCACCCGGGACACTCGCCGCTCTCCCCTCTTGCATGCACACACATTCACGCGCACTCACCCTCACGCGCCCGTCCCGCCAGCGCCCGGGAGCTTCGCTGCTAATTGAATGCGAGCCGTTCTTACGCCCCGCAACACGTGAGACAAACCATCTTTGAGGAATTTGGGGGAAGGACAGGCGCGCGGCTGAAGCGGGGGAGGCGTGTCTTTGCCTTTAAACTCTTTTTGCAAATGCGGGCGGTGGCGCAGACAGACTCGAGCGGGACCCGCCGGAGCCGCGCGCAGCCTGGCTCTCGCGGACCCTTCCCTCCCGCACCCCCTGCTAGCGCCTCCTCCCCGAAGCCACGTTCAACACGATGCATAATTGATAGTGTTAGCAGAGCGCCTCACCCTCCCTGCCATTTTTGCCTGGATCTGGGCTGATACAAGCCCTGTTCTCCCCCGCCCCCCTCCAGTCTAACCCGGCCACGAGAACGCGCGGCCCTGCAGGGAGCGCGGGGAAGGGACGTCCCGCTCCCCTCCCGTCCGCCGGCCCTGCCCAGCCTCTTGAACTGGAACTCTTTATGTCTCGTCTTTTGTGGCTAAACCAGGGCCAGAAGCCCACTCCCTAACGCGCCGGCCTGTGCGCACCGCGGAGCGGGGTGGGGCGGCGGAAGCTGGCCCGAGCGCACCGAAGCCCCTCACTCTCGGGTCTTGCCAGCTCCGGGCGATTGGGGCGCAGAGGCTGCAGCGGACAGTGGCACCGACAGGGATGACTGCAACCGGCTGCTGCTCTTGAGCTTGAGCTCCGCGGGCTGGGGACTTAAGGCCGGAACATTCCTTCCCTCCACCCAGTATCTTTACAGCCTCGCGAACACACCATCAACGCCCCCCCGACACACTATCCGTCAAAGCCGCGGTGGCCCGCCACCGCCCTGCCGTCTCACACCCTCGCACAACAGCCGGCCGCAGCAGACTCGCTGCTCGCGACTCTGGCTGCCTGTCTCTGACGAAACCCCGACATTTCTTTTAGTGACAAGGGGGCGGAGGCGGGGGGATGTCGAGGCATTTGGCTAAAACCCAATTTCCGCCCCCCTGCACTGCCTACCGCTGCCCAGGACAAAGAGCTGCTGGCCAGAACCCGAAAGGGGTACGGGCCCGGGAGACACGCAGAACCCCCATGCCTCCCGTCCTTTCTGTAGACACCGAGCTCCCTGGGCACACGTGGTCCCCCAGCCCTCACCCCGGGCTGTGGGGATCTCTCACGGTGGGTCGATGGCGCAGGTTTGGGGCTTTTGCGGAGATCAATACCCCTATCTGAGTGCAGAGCATTTTAATGAGCTGGGGAGGGGGTGGGGAAGAGAGGGAGACTGGCTAGGAGCGCAGCATCTAAAGAGACCACCCGGCACAGTTCCGAGGCTTCTTTGTAAATTAAATACGAACAGACTGGTGCAAGCACACGCCGCGTCTCTCCCTCTCTCCTACTCCTGCCATCGCTACAGGCGGCTCAGCCGAGGTCCGAACCCAGAACTTCACTCTGCCTGCTCTGGTCTGGGGTGCCCCCAGCTGATCCAGGGGGAGGGCGCCCTTTGGGGGAAGGTGACTTTGAGAAGGGCCGTAGGGTAAGAGCACTGTGACCCGTTGCCGCCGGGGACCCTGAGTGGGACAGCCGGGAGCGGGTCCCTAAGGTTCTTAGGCCTTTCTGGGCCCTGGAGTGAGGCAGGCGGCTGGACTGGCATGGCTTTCTTTGTCTACCGAGCAAAGGGTGGGGGGCGTCCTGGGCATGCCATCCTCATCTCAGGATCCTTGAGGTCTTGGGAGCCTTGGCCTGGGAAGAGGGCTCCGAGAAAGTGGGGGCCCAGCAGCGGGGACTTAGAGAGTCCAGTCCCGGATGGCAGGTCCAGAGCCTTTTCGGGGCTGCGGGAGGGGCGCCAGGCATGGAGGCAGAGAGGTTCCGGCGTGGAGGCTCAAGGCTTGTGGACCCTCCCCTCCGTTTTCACCTCTTTTCCAGTTCCTTTTGCCTTCGGCTGGGACGGGTCGGCAGGCTTGGGGGGTGGGGGGACAACTGGGAAGGACGAGGGACTGGAGGACAGAGTCTGGGGAGTGTAAGGGAGAACGGGCCCGGTAGCTGACCGCCCAGAGTTTCCCTGGACTGCAGGGAACCTCTCCGCAAGCCACCCCGCAACCCCTCGGGGCCCGTGGACCAAGAAAGACCCCTTTTCCCTGTTCTTGACGGCGTTGCAGAATCCGGGGATTTGGCCAAGAGACAGGGCTCCAGGAGCCTGGAGCGCAGCTGAGGGCGCGGTGGCCACCCCGGTGCGGGCGCTGACTCCCGCGGGTCCCGGCGGCTCTCGCCCACTCTCCAGCAAACTCTTTGTTCCCCGAGCCTACCCTGGGGGAAAGACGCCCCTTACCCCGCCTTCGACCCCGGAGCCCCAGTGCCGGCCTCCGCGGGGCTGGAGCCCGAGTCGCCCAGGGCAGAGCCCGCGGAGGCCTGGGCGGGAGCTCAGCTGGAGGACTGCGCGCGCCGAGCCGGAGCCGCCGGTCCGCAAGGCGGGTCTCGTGTTTATAACGTTAATAACGACACAATTACTGGAGGGCTGGGAACCGGGAGCGTTCCACCCCAGCCGCCCAAGTCTTTGATCTTTAAAGAAACAGGCATTACTCAGGTGTGTGGAGGTAGGGTCCGGGCGCGGAGGGACACAGGGTTTCAAGCCGCGAGCACGGAGGGCCCCACGGTCAGAACCTGCCGAACCCGAACCAAGGCTTTTTACCAGGCTGCGGGCCCGACCCCAGGCAGACCCGGGAGCCGAGAGCTGGAGCCCCTGGCCGCTTTTGGGGGACCGAACTCTAACTTTAACATCGCGGACTGGGGTGTGGGGGTCGTGGGGGGGATTGAACCCCGCCGGATCCCGGGACTTGCTCCCCCCGGCTGCCCGTTCGGGTCGGGGCCGGGCTGGTCCGCGC